CCATTTTTTAGATGGTGATCGTTCTCTTGACTGAACTAAAGCTCTAGACGAGCTACAGAGCTGTTTGTCAGAGCAGTCGCAGGAAAATCATCAGACGCGCTAGCCCAGAGTATCCAGACGCCCCAACTCGGTCTGATATCAGAGCTGCGTCCAAAGAACTATTCGTACTCTGTTAATATTTTAGGGAGATGATGGTATTTTTAAGATAAATTAAACTGCAGATGAACTATAGAGCTGTTCGGCACAGCAATCGGAAGGAAATCGTCAGAGCCCAGGGGAGGGCAATGGCCGCACGTAGAGCCTGCTTCGTTGTGCTGAGTACAGCAGCCAGATCGTCGACGTAGGCGGGGTCGTCGTCCCCGGTAATGGAGAAGATCGCCGCGATGAGGGGGCCGTGCCCCTTGCTCCAGAGAAGTGGGGAGGCGGCGCCGCCCATCCCAACCGATCTCAGCAGACGTCGTTCGGGACCTTTGTACTTGTCCCTGCATATCTGCACCCTTCGTTCGGCAACCAGTGAGTTGAGGGCTTGCAGCATCCAAGAGGGGGGATTCCACCTGCGAAGGAGGCTGTCCACCCATTGAAGCGATATTCTCTCAAAGGCCTGATTTTGGTCGCAGAAGATGACCGCCGCGCCAGGGGCGCCCCCTAGCGCGGCGGCAGCGCGGTTGACGAAAGCCTCGACGGCGGCGGCGTGTCGGCCCAGGGGCGTGGCCCAGGCTAGGCCTGGTTCAGCCGGGGGCTTGGAGGGGGATCCAAGATTTTGGGTCACCTTTGTGATGTTGGGGCCGCACTGTCCTCCTTGCTTGGCTGCCTGGTTGGGGTTGAGGAGCGGTTCGCGCGCTAGTCTATAGTATTTAGATGCCCGAACTCGTCGCGCTTCCAGAGTTGGAACCAGAAAACTATTGGTACTCCACGTTTTTCTCAGAGATGGCGATGCCTTCCTTGATACTTTCCGTCCTCCTGCTCCTTCTGCTCCTTCTCCTCCTCCTCCTCCTCCTCCTCCTTCTCTTCCTCGCCCTCCTTCATCCTATTATCCCTACTCCTTCTTCTCCTCTAGTCCTCCCACATGAAACCGCACCCTCGCGCGCGCGGAATGCGAGATTGCCGCGCCGGCATTGCACGAGGAAGCTCTACGAGTTCCCGGCGGTAACCAAGGTTGACGGTTTACCGCCGGCCCCCAGTAATTCCGGCGCGCTGGGGGCTAGTTGACAAAAAGTATCGACGGAAGTTGTCCCGAACTTGTCTCGGTTTGAATTCGACTTCTCGAAAGTTGACCATTCGTTTGCCTTAGTAATTCCTCTTTATATTCGATCTTATTGCCGCTCGCCATCTTAATCTCAGGCCGATCAGTTACCTAGTACTGTCAGAAAGCATGTGAGCGGGATCGGCTGTTCGGGTCATCTTGGCGGGTGCTGTCGGTTTTCCCAACTTAATTCGAGCTGCAAAAGAGCTACAGAGCTGGCAGGCACAACTGAAGGATCTGAAATCATCAGGCGCGTTAGTCTAAAGTATCTAGATGTCTGAACTCAGTCTGCCACCAGAGCTGGGTTCGCGAAACTATTCGTCGTCTGCTATTTTTTGGCGGTGGTGAAGAGCTTCTAGACTTAATTCGAGAGATAAGCTACAGAGCTGTTCGGCGCAGCAATCGGAAGATAATCATCAGGCGCTAGCCTAAAGTATCCAGACGGGAACAGCTGGGTCCGAAAACCTATTGCTAATCGGCGAATTGTTTCTGGAGATGGTCATGGTTTTGCGAACTAGCCCCCTGGCACGCCGATTACTCTCTAGCTTCACCGCTTCGCTCTTTGAAATCTCTACGAGTCATTGGGTCTGTCTGCCAGCTCTGCAGCTCTTCTACAGCTCGATTTGAATTCAGAAAACGGCAGCATCTGCAAACATGAACCTGAAGAGCCAATCCCGCCGGAATAACTTCTCGAAGAAATATGTATCCGATCAGCTTGCTACTAAGATGACGAGCGGGAATAGGATCGAATATAATCCGATCGACCTGTTGAATTTCCAGAAATCAAATCTAAACCGAGCGAAGTTATGCAAAACTCCCGTCGAGATTCTGTCGGCGATCTAGCCCCGAACGCGCCGGAGTTACTGTTCTAGCTTCGCCGCTTACGCTCTCAGGGAAGCTCTACGAGCCAAGACAACATTTCTGTCGAGATTTATTTGCCACCCAGCCCCCCAGCGCGCCAAAATTATTTTCTAGCTTGGCCGCTTTGCTCTTCAGGAAGCTCTACGAGTCATTGTCCGCCCGTGAGCAATCGGAAGACCATCATCAGGCGCGCTAGTCTGTAGTATCTAGATGCCCGAACTCGCCTGCCACCAAAGCTGGGCGCGAAAAACTATTGGTACTCTGCTAGTTTTCTAGATACGGAGACGATTTTCTTGACTGAACTGGAGCCGAAGACGATTTACAGGGCTGTTCGTCACAGCAATCGAAAGGAAATAATCAGAAGCGATAGTCTGAAGAGTCTAAACGTCCGAACTCGGTCTGCTACCAAAGCTTCGATTCTGAGCACTCTTACGCGTGCAAGGAGCTCTACGAGGTTCCCGGCGGTGACTAGGTTTACGGTTCACCGCCGGCGCCAGTACCTCGTAGGGCTCTTTGCTATCGATGAGATAGGAATTCCGGCGCGGGGTGGAGCTAGTTGGTCGACCCAACCAGGAATGACAATGTGGTAACTGGCGCCGGCGGTGAACCGTCAAGCTGGTCTGCGTAGTCTGCGTCGGCCGATTCGAGCTCCCTGGAGAGCAGGCCAGAACACAGAGAACCTCAACAGCGAAGCTGTACAGGAAAACAGCGAAGCTGCAAAGATTAAAACAGAAGCGCATCAAACAGCGAAGCTGTACAGATATGCACAAGACTGCCAGTACACGAGAAAACAACCAACAATAGAGTGAGGGAAGCAATGCAGACCATAGATATGGAAGCAAAGCTAGAAGAAGTGAAAGACCACACAGTAACCACTGGTATACAGCGATTACCGTGTCAACACCACTGAGAAAAATGGTGATACACAAATCCTTCGAGTAATTGTAGGCAGAATGAATTATGACGGAATTCGGCGCTGGCCGCAGCTCCGGCGCGACGAATATATTGTAAAACACATTATAAACGTGCGAATATGCCTCGTGCTATTTTCGCGCCAAAATAAACATAAATATGCACACGTCCTTTGGGCAGAAAACAATGTGCACGGGGTGCGATGCGCATAACGCGATGCACGCCCGCGGCACTCCGCCATAAATGTAAGAGAAGAAACGTGCCAAATCCTCTTATGAGACCTGTCAGCGGAGAGCGGAAGGAAAACCAGAGGGAGAGCGGGAGAAGCCCAAAGACCCAAAGCGAGCCCAGGGGCAGAAACAGCGGGGGAGAGAGAGGGGGGGCAGACCAAAACAAGCGTGCATGATCAATCACATGTGCATCATCTGTGCCGTTTCCGATGCTTCTTGCCGCTCCGTGTCAATGCACTCCTGGAAGTAGAACTCTGAAGACCCCCCTGTTGCGGATCATCCTCCTCGGCACTTTCAACTGGGCGCCGGCGGTAAACCGTCAACCTTTCTCACCGCCGGGGGACTCGTAGAGCTTCCTGACCAAATACTATGTCCAAAGAATTAGCAGAGAACGAATAGTTTTTCAGCCCGAGCGCTGATAGTAGACTGACCTCAGGCGTCTAGTGATATATCATTGCTGTGCTGAACAGTTCTATAGCTCATCTGCAGCGTGTAGACAATACCATTAGGGAGAAAATAGCAGAGTACGAATCCGTGTTTGGCGTCTGCGCTCACAGACCCAAACCAAGCGTCTAGATGCTTCGCGCCTCATGATGCCCTTCTGATTTTTCGGCCGAAGAGCTCTCGAGCGCTCTGCAGCTCGAGTTCAGTGAAGAAATTCACCATCATTTGGAAAAAAATGTCGGTCGAATACGAATAGTTTTGTGAACCTAGCTCGGGTAGCAGACCGAGTTCAGACCTCTCGATGCAATAGACGAACCCTCCCAATGCCTCTGCATCAGTTTCTGTGCGTACCAGCTCTGTAGCTCTCCTACAGCCCGAATTCAATAGAAAATGGACAACATCTGTCAGATGACTCGAAGAATACAAACAGTTTTGCGAACCTAGCCCCAGTAGCAGACCCAGTTCAGACCTCTGGATGCAACAGACGAACGGGCCTGAGGATTCCGAATCATTTCCTGTGCGTATGAGCTCTGTAGCTCTCCTACAGCCCGAGCTACGTGCGAAAACGGACAGCACCTCTCAAGATGACTCGAACGATACGAACAGCTTCGCGGACCTAGCTCGAGTAGCAGACCGAGTTCAGACCTCTGGATGCAAGACAAACGCGCCTGATTATTCTGCATCGGTTTCTGTGGGCATCAGCTCTGTAGCTCCCCTAGAGCTCGAGTTAAGTACAGAAAACCGACAGTCCCTGTCGAGATGACCCGCGATACGAATAGTTTTGCGGACCTAGCTCGAGTAGCAGACCGATTTCAGACCTCTGCATGCGACACGCGGACGCGCCTGATGTCTCCGAATCGGTTTCTGTAATTTCCAACCCTATAGCCCCCCTACAGCCCGAGTGAAGTACAGAAAACCGACAGCACCTCTCAAGATGACTCAAACAATACGAATAGTTTCGCGGACCTAGCTTGGGCAGCAGACCGAATTCAGACCTCTGGATGCAACAGACGAACGCGCCTGATGATTCTGAATCCGTTTCTGTAAGTATCAGCTCTGTAGCGCTCCTGCAGCTCGAGTTAAGTACAAAAAACCGACAATGCCTCTCAACATAACTCGAAACAGCCGATCCCGCCGGTGCGCTTTTTGGCAGTAATATCTACCCGATCGAGCTGAGACCAAGACGGCGAGCGGGAATAAGATCGAATATCACGGGAAAAATTACTAGAGCTCAAACGAATGGTTGAATTTCGAAAACAAAATTTTCGACCGACCAAAAGTCACCAAAAGGTCCGTCGAGATTTTTCTTGCCAACTGGCGCCGGCGGTGAACCGTCAACCTGGTATTTTTGCGTCTTTTGCGAAGGCCGGTTCGAGCTCCCATGGGAGCAGGCCTAAACACAAAGAACCTAAACAGCGAAGCTGTACAGGAAGACAGCGAAGCTGCAAAGATTAAAGCAGAGGTGCATCAAACAGCGAAGCTGCACAGATATGCACAAGACTGCCAATACGCGAGAAGACAAATAAGAATAGAAAGAAGGAAGCAAAGCAGTGCGAGACCATGCAGTAACCACATATAGCGATTACCGTCTCAGCACCACTGAAAATAAAAGCAGTGAGAGACCATACAGTAACCACTGGATTATACAGCGATTACCGTCTCAACACCACTGAGACAGACACAAAACTAACAACTAAAAGGACGAGTACACTTCAAGGCAATGCGAGACCATGCAGTAACCACATATAGCGATTACCGTCTCAGCACCACTGAAAGACCATGCACGTGAAACACAACAACGAATTTGCGCCACCGTAGTGTCGACCAGATCAAAGGCCTACTTTGAGGCACCACGTGACAAATCACGGAAAGTCACGTTCAAAGGTCAATGAGCACTCGAATCAAGGAAGCAACGAATGACCTACTTTGAGGGATCAAGCGAAGCTCTTATTCAACACACGCGCATGCACGACAACACACACAGGCATGAAGAAAGGCAACGCAATGACAAATCAAGCGTGCAGGATCAATCACATGTGCATCCTCTGTGCCGTTTCCGATGCTTCTTGCCGCTCCGCGTCAATGCACTCCTGGAAGTAGAACTCTGAGGACCCCCTTGTTGCGAATCATCCTCCTCGGAACTTTCAATTCCCATTTGCAGCCTGTATGCATGAAGAGCCTCAGCCCTACGCTGAAACTCCTGTCTCGGGAGTCGGTGTAGCTCACGCCAAAGAGCACTGACATCGACACCGGCAAGGGCCCAGTCCCTGGCAGCTTGACACTCGTCCTCCGTCACTGCTGAACTCACAACTGCATTAGATAAACCCCCAGTCGTGGAACTCCCAGGGTGTGAAGTCATAGAACCTTTATAATGAGAATAATGCAACTGCTCATTCCGCAACTCCTCCTTCTGCAACTCCTCACCCTGCAACTCCTCATCATGCAACTCCTCTTTCAGAACACCTGGATCAACAGAAACAGAAACCACTTCCGAGTTTTTGTTGTTGTTAGTTACTGAAGAGCTCCAGTCAACCGCAGAATCAGGCTGAACATGCTCCACCTCATCGCCCATCACCTCCTTAAGATTTTCCTGCCAATCTTCATTCAGAACCGCAGGGTCAATAGAGACAGAAACCAGTACCGACTGCAGCACACCCTCCGAAGACTGTAGCACATCTCGAGGCTGCACCACATCAGGAGACTCCTCCACCTCCCTCCACACCTGAAGATCTCCCTGCCCAGCCTTCCCAAGACAATCCGACGGAGCGTCCGGAGATGAAGCGTGGCAAACTTCAGAGCTGGAATCCAAAGAAACAGTATGCTGAGAATAATGCAACTGCTCATTCAGCACCTCCTCACTCTGCAAATCCTCATTCTGCAACTCCTCGTCCTGCAACTCCCCATTCTGAACTCCAGGAAGAAAAGAAACAGAACCCAGCACACCATCTGGAGACTGCACCGCATCTGGAGAACAAGCAACAGAATAGGACGAGAAAGCTTTCCCACGATCAGTTGGCCCATCGGGTTTAGCGACTCCGTCGAAAGACTCAGTCATCACACCCAGAGCCTCTAGCACACGGATCTCTGGAGATTGCACCACGGCTGGAGACTGCACCACCTCTGGAGACTGCACCCCCACTGGATCGCACTGCAGAGTATGGATGTCAAAGAGGGCTTGTCGAAACATGGCGAGTCTCAGCCTTCTCGCTCTCCGCCGCCACGACGAGGATGGGGAAGAAGAAACGGGATAGGAGATGGCATACAAAGTAGAAGTCGACGGGGTACAAAATTGCGTTGTCATGGCACCACACAGCAAGGGGTACTCACACAACAAATCTGACTCCAACCACTGCAGAGACAAGAGGTGCTCAAGCCGCCATCGCACGGCCCGCCCGCGCGCACACGGCCAGCCTGAGGGGCAGCCAGGGGGCAGCCTGAGGGACCAGGCCGCCCAGGGGGCAACCTGGTCACCGCCGGGAACCTCGGAGAGCTCCTTGCACCGGTAAGAGAGCTCAGAAGCGAAGTAGAGTAATAAAATGAAGATTTTATTAAAATCTTGATTTTTGGATTTTTACGATGTTCATGATAGCTCGGTTGAGGGAAGTCAACTCATAATGAGATGCATCAGGGGAGCTGAGCTGCTCTCAGAATAAAGCTTATATGCCAATGCTCGGCGTAAAAATCTGCTTTCTCAAAATAAATGGTCAAATGTCTCTCAAATCTTAGCAAAACCGACCAAAAGTTGTCACGTTGTCCGTTCTGGTCGGGTCGGCCAATGGGAACCGGCGGTAAGCCGTCAACCTGGTCACCGCCGGGAACCTCGTAGAGCTCTTTTCTTGCACGGCGATCCTCGGAACACTGAAGAAAGCTTCTGGAGCGAGAAACGAAAAACTCGAAAAATCACGTTTTTCTGTTTTTATCCAACGTCGGTTGCTCCAAGTGTTTTGATAGTAATACTGCACCTACGGACCTGAGAATTTGACTGGCAGACGCGGCATAACCCACTACTGGTGCGAAAAATCTGGTTTCTCAAAATGAATTGTCAAATATCTTTCAAATCTTAGGAAAGCCGACCCAAAGTTGTCAAATTGTCTCTTCTCGTCGGGTCGGCCAACTGGGCGTCGGCGGTAAACCGTCAACCTTTCTTACCGCCGGGGGACTCGTAGAGCTTCCTGACCATATACTATGTCCGAAGAATTAGCAGAGAACGAATAGTTTTTCAGCCCGAGCGCTGACAGCAGACTGATCTCGGGCGTCCAGTGATATCCCATTGCTGTGCTGAACAGTTCTATAGCTCATCTGTAGTGTAGAAAATACCATTAGGGAGAAAATAGCAGAGTACGAATCCGTGTTTGGCGTCTGCGCTCACAACAGACCCAAACCAAGCGTCTAGATGCTTCGCGCCTCGCGATGTCCTTCTGATTTTTCGGCCGAAGAGCTCTCGAGCTGCTCTACAGCTCGAGTTCAGTGAAGAAATTCACCATCATTTGGAAAAAAATTGTCGGCCGAATACGAATAGCTTTATGAACCCAGCTCGGGTAGCAGACCGAGTTCAGACCTCTCGATGCAACAGACGAACGCCCCCAATGCTTCTGCATCAGTTTCTGTGCGCACCAGCTCTGTAGCTCTCCTACAGCCCGAATTCAATACAGAAAATGAACTAAATCTGTCAAGATGACTCGGAGAATACAAATAGTTTTGCGGACCTAGCCCGAGTAGCAAACCCAGTTCAGACCTCTAGATGCAACAGACGAACGGGCCTGCTGATTCCGAATCAGTTTCTGCGCGTATGAGCTCTGTAGCTCTCCGACAGCCCGAGTTACGCGCGAAAACGGACAGCACCTCTCAAGATGACTCGAACGATACGAATAGTTTCGCGGACCTAGCTCGAGTAGCAGATCGAGTTCGGACCTCTAGTTGCAACAGGCGAACGCGCCTGATTATTCTGCATCAGTTTCTGTGCGCATCAGCTCTGTAGCTCCCCTGGAGCTCGAGTTATGTACAGAAAACCGACAGTCCCTGTGGAGATGACCCGAGCGATACGAATAGTTTTGCGGACCTAGCTCGAGTAGCAGACCGATTTCAGACCTCTGCATGCGACAGGCGGACGCGCCTGATGTCTCCGAATCGGTTTCTGCAATTACCAGCCCTGTAGCCCCCCTACAGCCCGAGTTAAGTACAGAAAACCGACAGCACTTCTCAAGATGACTCGAACAATACGAATAGCTTCACGGACCTAGCTCGGGCAGCAGACCGAGTTCAGACCTCTGGATGCAACAGACGAACGCGCCTGATGATTCTGAATCGGTTTCTGTAAGTATCGGCTCTGTAGCTCTCCTACAGCTTGAGTTAAGTACAAAACACCGACAACGCCTGTCAAGATGACTCGAAACAGCCGATCCCGCCGGCCTGCTTCCTGGCAGTAATATCTACCCGATCGAGCTGAGATCCAGACGGCGAGCGGGAGCAAGATCGAATATCACGGGAAAAAATACTAGAGCTCAAACGAATGGTTGAATTTCGAGAACAAAAATTTCAACCGACCAAAATTCAGCAAAAGGTCCGTCGAGAATTTTCTTGCCAACTATAGCTCTCCAGCGCCCCGGAACTGGCGCCGGCGGTAAATCGTAAACCTGGTCACCGCCGGGAACCTCGCAGAGCTCCTTGCACGCACTAGAGTGCTCAGAATCGAAGCAGAGAGCTTCGGAGAAGATTTTCTTAAAATCTTCATTTATTTTATTTTCGATGTCCATACGAGGTCGGTTCCTGGAAGTCAACCCATAGTAAAACTACCTCGGGAGAGCTGAGCTGCTCTGCAGGCGAAGTTTATATGCGTATGCTTAGCGCAAAAATCTGGTTTCTCAACATGAATGGTTCAATATCTTTCAAATCTTAGCAAAACCGACCAACAGTTACCACATTGTCCTTTCTGGCGGGTCGACCAACTAGCTCCACCCCGCGCCGGAACTGGCGCCGGCGGTGAACCGTCAACCTGGTCTTTTTTGCGTCTTTTGCGAAGGCCGGTTCGAGCTCCCATGGGAGCAGGCCTAAACACGCAGAACCTAAACAGCGAAGCTGTACAGGAAGACAGCGAAGCTGCAAAGATTAAAACAGAGGTGCATCAAACAGCGAGGCTGTACAGATATGCACAAGACTGCCCATACACAAGAATATAACACTAAAACAGTGAAACGCAGTAACCACTTGTTTATACAGCGACCACACGAGAAGCAGTGAGAGACCATACAGTAAGCACTGGTATATACAGCGATTACCGTCTCAACACCACTGAGAATGCACAAGAGATTAAAGGTCAGAATGCAGATAAGATCAAAGGCCTACTTTGAGGCACCACGTGACAAACCACGGAAAGTCACGTACAAAGATCAATGAGCACTCAAATCAAGGAAGCAACGAATGACCTACTTTGAGGGATCAAGCGAAGCTCTTATTCAACACACGCGCATGCACGACAACACACACACGCATGAAGAAAGGCAACGCAATGACAAATCAAGCGTGCAGGATCAATCACATGCGCATCATCTGCGCCGTTTCCGATGCTTCTTGCCGCTCCGCGTCAATGCACTCCTGGAAGTAGAACTCTGAGGACCCCCTTGTTGCGAATCATCCTCCTCGGAACTTTCAATTCCCAATTGCAGCCTGCATGCATGAAGAGCCTCAGTCCTACGCTGAAACTCCTGTCTCGTGAGTCGGCGTAGCTCACGCCAAAGAGCACTGACATCGACACCGGCAAGGGCCCAGTCCCTGGCAGCTTGACACTCGTCCTCCGTCACTGCTGAACTCACAACTGCATTAGATAAACTCCCAGTCGTTGAACTCCCAGGGTGTGAAGTCATAGAATCTTTATAAAGAGAACAATGCAACTGCTCATTCCGCAACTCCTCATTCTGCAACTCCTCACCCTGCAACTCCTCATCATGCAACTCCTCCTTCAGAACACCTGGATCAACAGAAACAGAAACCACTTCCGACGATGAGCTTCCTCCTCCACGAATATCCACATCCTCGTTCTCCTTCTCCACCTCAGACATCTTAACATCATCTGCCGACTTAACATGAGCAAAAACAACAGACATGTTATCCTCGCTATCCTTCTCCAACTCCGACATCTTCACATCAGCTGCCGTCTGAGAAGGAACAGGAACGTGCGAACCCACGTGCGCTACCTGATGATCAACACGCTGAGTCTTTAGGGTCTGCCCTACAGGCTCCCCAAGGACAGCATCATGCCCCGACCTGCAACTCATAGTGTTCTTCTTCGGCCTCCTCGATATGGGTCTCAGCCTCGCTTGAAGGGGTATCTCATAAGAAACCACTGAAGACCGATCATCAAACTGGACTCGCCTAGATGAAGAGCTCCCAACATGAAAATCAGAGGCGCCATGATCAACACTGGACCTGTGATAACAAGATATCTCATGATCAACATCCTGAGCCTTTAGGGTCTGCCCGACAGGCCCCCCAAGGACAGCATCCTGCCCCGACCTGCACATCATAGTTTTCTTCTTCAGCCTCCTCCGCTGCCGCCGGGATCCGGCCGAACCGGCGGCAGCGGGATCAGGGGCGCCCTGCGCCGGACCAACGCCACACCGCGTCGCCGCCATGACCGAGGCCACGGCAGCCGCGGCGGCTGCGACAGTCCTGCGCGGGGCACCTGCCTGAACAGCAGCGCGGACCGCTGCCTCCACAAGAGATGCAGCCAACGCGGCGCCGCCGTCGTTCCTCATAGTGAGAGCACCGTGTACAGTATGAGGAACCAAAGACTCCTTTCTGCACAATGCAGCTCGAGACGAGGGGGACCCCAGCGGTGAGGCCTGGCCGAGCAGGAGGTAAACTCTGCCCAACCTGGTCACCGCCGAGAACCTCGTAGAGCTCCTTGCACGCGTAACAGTGCTAAGGATCGAAACAGAGAGCTTCTTGGAGTATTTCTAGAAAAAACGTCAAATTGACATGTTTCGGTTTCAACATGGTCAGGGTGCTCAGAACCGAAGTAGAGTCATAAAATAAAGATTTTCCTGAAATCTCAATTTGCGATTTTTTCGATGTTCATATTGGCTCGGTTCCGGGACGTCAAGTCTTAATAAAATACATCGGGGGAGCTTAGCTGCTGTCAGAGAGAAGTTTATATGCCAATGCTCGGCGTAAAAACCTGCTTTCTCCAAATAAATGGTCAAATGTCTTTCACATCTTAGCAAAACCGACCAAATGTCATCACTTTGTCCGCCCGAGCCGGGTGGGCCAACTGGCGCCGGCGGTGAAACGTCAACCTGGTCTGCGGAGTCTGCGTAGGCCGATTCGAGCTCCCATGGGAGCAGGCCAGGACACAGAGAAACCTAATCAGCGGAGCTGTACAGATATACACAGCGAAGCTGAAAAGAAAATACAAGTGCACAAACAGCGAAGCTGAACAGGAATGCACAAGTATACAATACACGTGAATGCAACTCACAGATTGTAAGATAGAAAGCAATGCCAGACCACGCAGTAACCACCTATAGCGATTACCGTCTCAGCACCACTGAAAATAAAAGCAGTGAGAGACCATACAGTAACCACTGATTTATACAGCGATTACCGTCTCAACACCACTGAGACAAACACAAAACTAACAACTAAAATGACGAGTACACTTCAAAGCAATGCGAGACCATGCAGTAACCACATATAGCGATTACCGTCTCAGCACCACTGAAAGACCATGCACGTGAAACACAACAACGAATTTGCGGTCGACTGTGCGGGCCGTCTGGCCCAGTCGCTAGCAGGAAAACGGGCGGCATACAGAGTCAGGCAAGACACCCACCACTTTTTGAGCGGGAGTGGGCAAATGCAAGACTCTTATTCCGAACAAAGTGAAGATCACGCGGAGCTCTTATACCAACATGCGCGCATGCCCGACACACACACACAGCAAGGCAAGAGTCAACGCAAACACAAAGTCCGAAGTATGTCGTAACAACCCGCGGTAAGACAAGAGTCGTATGCTCACGTCAAATGTGTGATAACTGAATGTCTGATAACGCACTCAAGTATCTTGAACTCTGATCTCCACTCGAGGCGGAGACTGACTTACAAATGTGCGTAGAGATAAGACTGGGAGCCGGCGGTAGACCGTCAACCAGGATACCGCCGGGAGCCTCGTAGAGCTCTTTCCTCGCATGGCGCGGCTTAGAACACGTTGAGGAAGCTTTCCCATACGGAGCTGAAAAACTCGAAAAAGTAAGATTTTTTAGTAGACGCCCAAAGACGGTTCCCCCAAGTGTTTTGATAGTAATACTGTAAATACAAACCTGAAAATGTTACTGGCAGACGCGGAAGAACCCACTACAGGTGCAAAAAAAAACCTGTTCTCAAAACGAATGTTCAAATCTCTAAAATTTGGCTAACCGACCCAAACTGGGAGCCAGCGGTAAACCGTGAACCAGGTTACCACCCTAAGCCTCGTAGAGCTTTTTTGTCTTGCGCGGCGCTGCTCGGAACACACGCAAACAGCTCCATCAAGCGTTAGCTGGGAAACTCGAAACATATTTTTAGTTTTCATCGAAAGTCGGTTCCCCCAAGTGTTTTGATAGAAATACTGCAGCTACAGACCTGAGAATTTCACTGGCAAGCGCTGCAAAACCCACTACAGGTGCGAAAAATACCGGTCCTCAAAACGAATGTTCAAATCTCTCAGGAAGTTCGTCCAACCGACCCAAAGTTCACACATTGTCCGTCGGGGCCGGGTCGGCCAACTGGGCGCCGGCGGTAAACCGTTAACCTTTCTTTTTTGCGTATTGCGTGCCGCCACAGCAGGGTCGGGTCACCGCCCAGGCGATAGCCACACAGGGAGGCCTAGTATCCTGCCAAATGCAGGCATTCCTCCACTCCCAAAAGGAGTTGTCGGGCAGACTCTAACTCAGCTGCAGTAATAGTGCTCGAGGGGGGGAGGAGGAAAGAGGAAGAGGCCACGTTGGGCTCCCACACGCCACTCGGAAGAGTGACAGGATATTCAGCAACAGAAGAAGAGCACAAATGAAAATCAATCTGCCAGCCACAGCCTACGCCCAGATAGGATCTTCCACCATCGAAGCTTCCCCGAATGGCGTCGATCAGAATAGCGTTAGCTTTAACATGGGATAGGAAATCATGCCTAAAACGTGTTCTACAAATGCCCTGCCTAGCTCTGTGTGTTAACTCATCCGCAGCAGTATTGTCCTCTCTGTATACCCACTTGAAGATATGTCTCCCAAGACAGGCCGCCTGCACACCACATCTCTTAGCTAGAATGTCTAACTTATTCTGGATGCCGCCCACAATCTTGTCATAATGCACATTGGCAGTAAAGTACAAACCTTGAATCCACCTCACAACGCATTGAGAATCTCCCTTCAGTTCAACGGCAATCCTTCCCACCTGGAACTCCCACTCCGTGTAATCCTCCAATATCTTAGCATATCGTTTGGACAACACCTCCTCCTTCTTCCTGCTAAGCTCCTCCGAAAGTACCTCCTCCTCCCTCTCTTCCATAGGCTTCCAAGGGATAGGATCTTTAAGAACCAGGAAATCAGAAACACCAGGAACCTGAAGAAGCATAAAAACTTGACGAGCGAACTTGACCCAGGCCTCCTCTGTCCATTCCAGAACATGGTACCAGTACTTCCCTCCCACAAGCTCAAAGGGTGTTCTCCACGGGCGCATGCCGATAGGAGCTCCGCCAGTCCTCACACGAGTCCCAGCACGTCCAGCCTGGCTTCCTAAAGATAGTATCAGATCATCCCGCCTGGATTCCCACTCCCCTCCTCCGTGCAACATGGACAGTCGTGCCTGCAGGTAGCCGTTGACAGCAGTGCCCGTGTCCACCACCGTGGGCTGATTGTAATAGCGGGTTGGGTCCTCGAACGTGTCTCTGAGTCTCGCCGTGTTCTGAGAAAGTTGGGTCCTCTGACGTTTGGCCTCATTCATGCACAACGTTTTTCTTTTCCGTCGGTTCATGGGCTCAGAGGGCGTCGTATCATTAGCAGGAGCACCAGGAGCATGCAATGAAGGCGGCACCAATTGTGAGCCGCCCACCACAGAAATCTCCTCCACGCCTCCTCCGTCCCAGCCAAAACAAGACAATGCAATATCCTTCGCCCATTTCCACTGCCGATATAGGAAGACCTGTGCAAGTGGAGGTCTGCCAGCTTCATAAAAAGCTTGCCTCCCTCTTTTGTACATGCGCGACATGAATACAGCCCACCCCTCCTCCTCCCTCTTAGCTCTCCACGTCATCCTGCTCAACATCTTCCCCTCCTCCTTGTGTATAAATGCAATCGTAGAACTGTCAACAGTGGCTCCTTCCAAGCCGAAAAGAAACTTAGATCTCACTCTAGATTCATATCGTGCAAATTTATTCTTCCAAGCAATCCTCCTGGAGGTGTAAAACGCTCGATCATTCCAGAAAGCACGAATAGCTTTTGCCATACGGTATCGCACATCAACATGATCCTTGAAATTCCTCGCAATCTTAGTCCCCAGCACAATAATTTCATCCACCTGCGGTATAGTGATGTTCTCAGGGAGAGACACATTGGGCCCCCTGGACATACCTGGCGGGAACAACGTCACCATAAGAGGCTCCGTCACACCGGTGGTAGAACCCACGTCCATAAACTCAAGACTGCTCTGCTTCCAACGAAAGCCGTGGTCGTGGAGAGCCCACGTCAACTGTAGAATCATTTTAGCCAATGTGGGGCGATCAGGAGCCGTGAGCAGCACGTTGTCCGCCCATATGAAGTGACTCACAACAATACCTCCTGCTTCACCCGAGAGTACAACACCGACAGCATCTCTCGCCCAAGCAGACGTAACGTCACCGAACATGACCAGGGATTGAGCAGTCCACAGATCAGGTCCTTCCTTAGAACCTGTCTTCACACACGTTGTCCAAGGGAGTGTCTCAGTGCAGACACCCTCGAACTGAAAGACCGCCTCATTACCAACAGAGTTCTCAATAAGACCATACCGAAGCTCCACATCAACACTCAAACGCTCAAGTGTAGAAGACGCAACTTGGACAGTGAGCGAGTCAAATGCAGTGGCAACATCCAGGGACGCAACAACAATATTCTCCTCCTTCCCCCACAGTCTGGCATGTCTGCACATCGCCTTCAATCCCGACGTTACCTCATGTGTCTTACGACCTTGCTGAAAACCATACAGACACAAAGACGGAGCAACAACAGGAGCAATAGACATCAAATGCGAATTGAGTAGAATACACAAGCAGCCCATGTACCATGTGTTCACAACAGAATTCACCGCAAGAGTACGACTGTCATCAAACCTCTTATCCTTGCCGCTCTTCAACATAATAGATGCACGGATGAACTTCCAAGACTCAGGTGCCTCTGCCATTCGCCAGAAGCGTCGCTGGAAGCAGTCAAGCACCACACGAAGTGCTTCCGAGGACAACGAACGTAACATGCGTGCACTGATACCATCAGCACCTACCGCCTTGCCTTCCCGAAGCCTGGAACGAGCACGACAGAGAACATGCATGGTAATAGGAGAAGAAGTGTGAGTGCTGCGCGCACGTGCCTCGTCAGCTTGGACCCGAAGCTGCTCCAGAGTCGCCATATTCATAGCAAGACGTTCCGACTTAGAGTACTTAGCCCTGACCACCCTCGTCATATCCTCCTTCCACTTACTGCGGTCTTCACACCATTCCCCGTCGATCAACATAGAGTTAGTAGCAGTCTTAGTCTTGACCCCATCCCGATAACGATAAAGAAGTAGACGTTTCATGAACTGCCTTCGAACACGATTCCAACGACGACGACTATCCTTGAACGTAGCTTCATCGATCTGACCAGATTTCCAGAGTTTGTGGACTCTGTAGTGGGCCTCTTTCAC